CTCAGCCTCCCAAGTGCTGGGATTTTTTTAATTTTAAATTTTTATTTATTTATTTTGAGATAGGATCTCATTAAGTTGTTCACAGTGGGCATCTCAGAATGCTAGCATTACAGATGTGTCCTAATATGGCTGGCTAAAATTAACCATTATAAAAAAATAAAATAAAATTAGCCATTATATTTTATTTATTTATTTGTACTGGGAATTGAACTCAGGACCTTGTGCTTGCCAGGCAGGTGCTGTGCCACTGGGCTATATCCCCAGTCCCTAAGGCTGGTCTTGAACTCAGAGATCCTCCTACCTCCGCCTATCTTGGCTAAAATTAACCATTTTAAAGTGTCCACATTAGTAATATTTATATTCTCTCTTGGTGAATAAAAGATTGTGAAATTTTGGTCTGATTCAGTTGCTTTAATCCTTTTCATCTTTGGCTCTAAAGTAACTAGCTTAAGCACTGTTATTGCCTCCCTTTCTCATCTGTTTGTTTTTCATCTGTGTACATACAGCCTCGCATACCCACACACATATGTACTCCACCCCCTGGCTTTTACTCCATTTGTTTCAAGGTTATGACGCCTTTTGTGGTGAAGGATATATGAAACACTTAAAGCTTAATAAAATAAAAGCGTAAGTCTACTTCTGAATCTTCTACCATCACTGCCTCAGGAACTCCTATTTTATTTTCATTCTACTTGGATACTCATCTTTCTCAAGCGTTAATTCTCAGCCTGATTGCACAGTAGTCATTGTGGTGGGTGGGTGGGGGAGGTCCTTTAAACGATCTCCAGCGCCCCAGATGGGCCCCAGACCAGTCAAGTAAGAATTTCTGTGACATTGACCCAGGTATGAGGGTTTTGTAAAGGCTTACACAGGTGAGCCCTGGTTTCCATAGAGGAAGAAATGGGAAACCAGGTTAACAAAATGAACTGAAAGGCCTGTGGAGGCTGGAAGAGAAAGTGGACCCTCATTTTGTGTCTGTCTCCTTCTTTCCTTGATTAATTCTATTTTTTTTTTTACAACCTTGTTTACAATTCCCACTACCCAAAAAAACAAAAAAAATACAACCTTGTTTAAAAACTGTCCTACTCTGGTGAAGTCTGTTTTACTATGATATATTGTGCTGATAAAGGATTTGAGAAAGCTTTCTAAGGAGCTAGGACATGCCCCCCCTGCTTTTCTTTTTTATTAGTCTTTTGTATTCGGGCTTTTGTCATTTGATTCATTTTGTAGCTAAAAGCACAAGCAACACAGCATAAGGCATCTAACTAGGCATTTGTGACGGATGGTATGTGTGTCTCCAACCTAGCATTTCTATCCTTTGAAAAGAGCATTCCGAGTAACCTGGCTCAGTGCCACTGGTCAGGGCAGAGTTTCATTCCTAGGCCAGGTTCTGAGGCTGCTGACCTTGAAAAAACCCCCATGTGTCCCTTACATCATAACGTTCACCTGGGGCCCCTGACAGCGCTCTCAGCAGCAGTGGTGGCTGTCAGGCAGCTGGGAAGATAGGTGACTGTAGGTTTTAAAGGTACAGGAGGGGATTGTGTTTCTTTCTTTAGACCGCTGCAGAAGAAATTTGTTAGTCGGCATTATGCCTGATTTAAGATTACTGCCTGTGTGATGATTTTAGCATTTTCCTCGCCTCGGCTCCTTTTCAACAGCTTGACATTTTTCTTCCATTCCCCCTCCTTACCTCCCTATGTGGCAAACTCTTTTCAGCTGCCAGCTATGATTTACTACTTAGTCTATGCGCCAGCTTTCCAGCTGTGAGCAGCTGTGTGCACATCTGGGAACCTCTTCCCCTTAAGGGCCCCCAAAAGAGGCTATGTTTTTAAAAGTCAGTATCTCCCCTGGATCCGTGCATGGAATTTCCTTCCTTTTGTGGGTTCTGGTATCTTTGCAGGCAACCCGAACCGTCCATGCTTTTGTATCTCTCAAAGGAAAGTAAGGTAAATATCAGATCAAAGAGATCTTAGGAAAATCAGACACCAGAGAGTTTGTTCATTTGAGCAGTCTTCCTAAATTTTTTTTCTGTGCTCCCAGTAGGTAAACTAGTATTACCCTCCAAAATGGTTTTTTTTTAATTACCTGGTTTGCATAAAATTTTACTTTTTTGCTCTCATCAGTGTCATTGCACTTGGATCAGGCCTTGTGTTCCTTGACTCGATTACATTCAGAGCAAGTTTCAACATTCCTTTCATGAGTTACCAGCTAGCTAGTTTGTAATCGCAGTTCAGTTCTACTTGCTCATATTGACAGCTCATCCATGTTGGGAAGGGAAGGGATTCGCAGACCAGAGTTTCTTCTCCGGCCAAGTATGTATGTGGGTATTGGTACTTTTGATCTTGGAAATTTGCTGTCCTATACTATTGGCTTTGTATCACTCTTGCCTTTGCTTTCATATTATAAATGATTATGAAAAAAAATTTAAATTACTGGTCAGTGTTAGGTAAATTGAAAGTCTAAAATAAATGCTTGAGAAAGATAGTGTGTTTGAAATTTATAACATGAAAGAGTTTTGTTAGGGTAAATATGGACTTGTTTATCATCTTAGAAGCGACATAGCATAGGGGTAGTCAACTTACAACATTAAGGAGATTCAAAGTGAGTAGATTAGAGGAATTCTTGCAAGATTCCAGAATATCTCTCGGGATATTAAAGACTTTAAGGAATCAGTCTTAATCTTTTGAAGGGAATACCAGCAATGACAACTGGATCTTCTTGCAAAAACATATCTTGGGGCTAGGCATGGTGGTGCACGCCTGTCAGCCCAGCACTCAGGAGGCTGAGGCAGGAGGATCACTGAAAGTACAAGGTCAGCGTGGGCTACATCGTGAGTTCAAGGTCAACCTGAACTGGATAGCAAGACCCTGTCTCAAAAAACAAACAAAAAGAATTTCTTGGCATCATTGCTGCTGGCTAACATAGTATTATCTATATGGCCTTTCTTTTCCTTTCCTGGCCTTTCTTTTCCTTCCTTTTGTTCCTCTTTTTCTTTCTTTCTTGCACTGGCTACATCCCCAGCCGTTTTTATCTTTTGTTTTGAGACAAGGTCTTACTAGGTATCCCAGGCTGGGCTCAAACTTGCAGTTCTCCTGCCTCAGCCTTTGAGAGTGCTGGGACCTCAAGCATACTCTCACCAGTGCACCTGGTTAGTATCCCCCCACCCCCAGGTACCGGGAATCGAACTCGCGCTTGCCAGGCAGGCACTGTGCTGCTGAGCTAAATCCCTAGCCCCTTGGTTAATATTTCTGGAATTCTAAGAATTTTTCTGAATTGGTGACAGAAATGAAATCAAGTGATATTAATGCAGGTGGAGCTTTGTTGAGCTAAGAAACAGATTATTTTTCTCCAAACTGTAACCTTTTTTTGTCTTCTATTTACAGCAAAGCAATGATATTGCACGGGGCTTTGAGAGAGGGCTGGAACCAGAAAAGATTATTGGAGCAACAGATTCCTGTGGTGATTTAATGTTCCTGATGAAATGGTAAGAGAGATTTATCCTTACTTTACACTTGCGTTTCTTTTCCATTGACTTGAATTTGTATGGAATATAGGTGGCAAAATTGACAATTCCCAAACTAAGAATTTTGAATATCAGAGACCCTTAACCAATCCTCAAACTTGCAGCAATTCTCCTGCCTCTGGCTCCCAGAATGTTGGGATTACAGGAGTGCTTTACCACATCCCAGCCTTGTGTGTGTGTGTGTGTGTGCGCGCTCACGTGCGTGTGCTCTTTTGCATTGAGCTACATCCTCGGTCCTTTTATTTTTAAGAGTCTTGCTAATTTGCCCAGGCTGGTCTTAAAGTTGTGGTCTTCCTATGTCAGTCTCTCAGAGTGCAGGGATTATAAGCATGTACCCCCATTTCTGGCTTAAATTTGTTTTCTTATTGTTCTAACTCACACTTATGACCAAAGAGGTAACGAGTATTTAAAAGACCATGAAAAGCCAGGCATGATGGCATATGACTGTAATCCCAGCATTCTTTTTTTTTTTTTTTTTTTAAGGATAAAAGGAGGGAAACATTATAATCCCAGCATTCTGAGAGGTTGAGGTAGGAGGATGAGTTTGAGGCCAATCTGAGAAATTTGAGTGACATAGCAAAAGCCTTTATAAAAATTTAATACTACTAAAGGAGTTGGGGATGTAGTTCATTTAGATACTCCAGAAGCTAAATTGATCAATTTCTTTTCTTTCTTTCTTTTTTTTTTTTTTTTTTTTTTTTTTTTTTTTTTTTTGTCTTTCTGAGACAGGGTCTCCTATGCAGTTCAGGCTGACCTTGAGCTCACTTTGTAGCCCAGGCCGGCCTTGAACTTGTAATGATCCTCCTGCCTCAGCCTCCCGAGTGCTGGGATTACAGGCGTGCGCCACCATGGCTGGTAAATTGATCAATTTATACATAGTCAGTAGAGCTGAATGTAGGTTTGTGTTCATTTACATACTTACATATAAAATTTTTGAAAGTACAATATTTATAATCATTTATCTTTTTTTTTACTTTTTTCTATCATGTGTTGCATCTGAATTCCAACTATAGGCATCTATATCTGTCTGATAAATGATCTCCACTCAAAATTAAATCCATTTGCTTAAATATCCATTTACTTAATCCAGTAACTACTTAATCCATTTACTTAAATATCTCCTTGAAAATACTGGACTGTTAGGCATATCCCTCCCTTCTAAAATGGAAATTGAATTCAAGGCCTTCATGCTCCAGCTTGTTCTCTTCTTCTCCCTCTCCCTCTCCCTCTCCCTCTCTTTGAAATTTGAATCCCACCACTGGGGAGGCTGAGGCAGGAGGATCATTGTGAGTTCAAGACCAGCCTGGGCTATAAAGTGAGCTTAAGGCCAGCCTGAACTGCATAGTAAGACCCTGTCTCAAAAAGACCAAAAAAAAAGAAGAAGAAGAAATTTGAGACACAGTCTCATTAAATTGCCCAGGTTGGGTTTGATCTAAGCATCTTCCTGCCTTACCCTCCCAGAGTCCGGCATTTTATATATATTCTAAGCATGTGCTCTACCACTGAGCTATACCCGCCAGCCCCATTAGTTTTTTTGTTTTGTTTTGTTTTGTTTTTTTAAGATAGGGTCTCACTGTGCAGTCCAGGCTGGCCTTGAACTCACTGTGTAGCCCAGCTGGCCATGAACTCATGGGGGACCCTCCCGAGTGCTGGGATTACAGGCCTGCACCACCACGCCTGGCCCCCATTAGAGTTCTTTTCATCTTGAAATCAGGGTGAGAAAATCAAGGCAACTAAGTGTAAACCAGAGTGCTGGGATTACAGGAGTGCTCTACCATGCCCATATAATGCTAGAAACCTATATTTAGACAGATTTTTTTCAGTTTTATTTCCAGTCCTTTTTTTTGTTTGTTTGTTTTTTTTGAGACAGGGTCTCGCTATGCAGTTCAGGCTGGCCTTGAGCTCATTTTGTAGCCCAGCCTGGTCTCAAACTCACAGCGATCCTCCTGCCTCAGCCTCCCGAGTGCTGGGATTACAGGCATGTGCCACCACACCCGGCTACTTCCTGTCCTTCTAAGTGTCATATTCTTTCTCTCTAGGAAAGACACAGATGAGGCTGACCTGGTTCTTGCAAAAGAAGCTAATGTGAAGTGTCCACAGATTGTGATAGCATTTTATGAAGAGAGACTGACGTGGCATGCATATCCTGAGGATGCGGAAAACAAAGAGAAAGAAACCGCAAAGAGCTAAAGCAGGGGGTGGTCTCTGTCATTTCTCTTTGTACATAATCCATTCACCTCCCTGCCTCCTCTCCCTTCTACCCAACCCCTTTATCCTAAACACATCCATAAAAATGTGCTTATCACTGTGCTCCGCAGGAGAAATGTTGGTATTGGTTCTCTTGTAACATAACCGATGGTCTGATTCATGCTAAGTGTCTCTCTGTGAAGACCAGGCATTTACATACTGTGTGTAATTCCCACAGAGTTTTCCTTTGCCCTGATCTCTTCCTTCTGCTCCCCTGTGACCTAAAGATAAGTTTTAACTTTTTAATCACCTTAGAGTCTTGATCTTTTCAGGGTTGGTTGCTTTTAGATTGGGGGTTGTTGTAGCAAAGATGGTGAACTTTGGTTTCTTGCTTTGTTTCTTAGAACATGTTGAAGACCAGCTGGGCTTTGTTTTAACATGTTGGGTTGGAAAGGGTGTTGCCCATCTTTTAAAAAGCCAGTAGCAACTGCCTACCTGTTGGGACTTTCTCTGTTGTTCATTCTCACCCGTTCTCCCAGAATAACTCTGTCCTTTTGAGGACTTGAAATTCTCCATTGAACTTCGTCGGGGCACTCCTTCTAACCTAGGACTTTCGGCCTTGTTCTTAGCAGTCACTGATTCTGCTTCTGTAAGATGGTGTGAGTTTGTGAAATGACAAGACGATTAGCTGTGGAGAGCCTAAGCTGCGGTACAGGAGAGTGATGGGGTGGGGCAGATACAGTTGTCTTTCAGTATCGTATATAGAATGTACGTTTCTTTCCTTCCGTCCCTCATATTTAGACTATATTTATGTAGATGCGAGTGATTGCCTGGTGCTTGCTTGTGCCAAGGTGCTAGGCACCCTCCAACCCTGCCAACTTTTGTGGCCTCCCAAAGCATTCTTGTTACCAAAGAGGCTTCAAACCTGATCTCACTTCTCAGTGGATCCAAGTTGCCCTTCCACACCATTTTTCCAGTGGGGAATTGTTGGAGGGGAGCCATTGGCCACAGTGTCACTTTTAAATACTCATAGCAGTTACACATTTTCTGCTTGCTTCAGTCCTGGATTTGCCACCAGGAGTCCTCTTCCCTTTTTCTACCTGTGAAATTTTGGTTGTGTCTTCTGTTTGAAAAATGAATTTCTGTGGAAGATTATCACCTGAGAACGTGACAAGTCCTGGCGTTAGCGTGTTGTCACAACTTCTTGCTACTCAGCACAATATTTCCCTTTTGATTTCCTCTGCTTTGCCGTTGTGTTAAGAGTTCCCCCCTCCCCGTCATATCCTTCTCTGCCTTTGTCTCCCGAGAAATTCCCTGCTTGTCTTTATCCTTTCTTGTAGTCGAGGGGGCTACTGAATCAGGACTGAAAGGAAGGAAATGGCACGGTTTGGGGCATCTTTCTTCTTCCCAAAGCTGAGGAAATGAGAATAAATGCTTGAAGCAGCCTTCATTCTGGAGTTCACCAGCCACTGAGGTGGTTTTTATTGTTGCTTTTGAGCTTTAAAACATACAGCTGTCTGGTCAAAAGCACTCAGCCATTTCTAGGTCATTCATAGTAATGGGTGGATCGATCCAGTCCACAGATGAGCCAAATGATATGCAAATCATACACCCATTTGTAGCATTTGTTAAAATTGCCTCCCTGCTCAGCTGCTCATTGAATTCTGTGAGCTTGCATAAATTATGTCAAAAATTATACAGTGCAGTTGAAGAGACAGCTGTTGCTACAGCGATATGACAGACTGGAACAATGGAGCTTGTGGTTTAAGTCAGCCCAGAGAAAATCCTGCTGAATGGTAATGTGATTGGGTGAGAGCTCATAGCCCATGCCTCACGTGGGTGGGAGTTTTCTCTCCATGTTTCTTTGCTCTCTGAAGGAATTAAGACTAGGTCAAGTGCTGGTTAAGTGACAGTTGTTTATACTTACTCTGGTGGCACCACAAAAAAAGGGTGGTCAGAAAACAGATTTGTCATACAAGGAACCCAGGAGATCAGTCAGGGCAGACCAGAGTGGGAGGGAAGTAAGCCAGGGCTCCTGAGGAGGTGATCTGAGCCTCTTGATTTGCAGCTGGAGAAAATGACAGGCAGTCCCTGTGGCCTGTGTATCCCAGTGGTAGGAGCCATGTAAACTGCAGTGATCGTGTCAGAAAGCAAACGCCGCGTATGTGGACAAGGAACAGGGCAGCATTTGGAACTAAGATTGGTCCTGAGAAAGGAACATATTGTTACCATGGGTATAGGTAATGTTCAAGACAGTAATTAGAACCTGGTTTTCTTCTGCCAAAACGACCCCGGTATCACCGACTACTCATCCCCCCTGTAATACTTGTCACGTCATCTTTTTCTGTCCTCAGTTTATAGGGCCCTGGTTTTTTTTACTGAGTGTCACTGGAACGACTTTCGTTCTCTCCTTGCTGATGGCCCCAGCACAAAGGAGACCAGACACCTGCCTGTGCCTCTCACGTTGGTGAGTGCTGAGTAGCTGTCCTTCCCTTGGAAGTTTGTAGCTTCAAGCAGAAAACTCCCGTGGAGGTTTCTCCCTCTGGAGAGTTAGTAGCCACGGGCAAAGCACTTTCAAACACCTAGGTCTCCGGTGGTCACAGTGTATTTGTGTGTGTGTGTGCTTTTTTCTTAAAACATCTTTCTCGTGCTGAATTTCTTCTAGTAATCAGCAGTAAGTTATAACCCTTCCTACAGAGTTTAGCAGTGCTTTCCTCAGTAGAGTATCAAGGACAGTTCAGTCAGTCTTCTAATCCTGAGCAGATGTATTAAGATCGACTGCTGGGAAGGTCAGCCCGGTTGGGGGTGCCCATGTTAAGCCTGGGAAGAGGCGTATTGTTTTTTCTCCCATCATTACCATCTAATAACAAACACTTTGTTACAAAGGAGGCTTGAGGCACATCTGTTAGTATCGAGCATCTATCTCCAGTGTAGCTTTATTCAGGCACTCCAAGAGGGGAGCCTCTCACCAGGCACGGTGCTGCCCCATGCCTGTAATGCTAGCACTCTAGGAGGCTGAGGGAGAAAGGTTACAAATCTGAGCCCAGCGTGGGCAATTTAGAAGATCCTGTCTCCCCCAATAAATGAATAAATAGATAAATAAATAAAAAGGGTGGGAGACAGCCCTGTTTGAAGACCCTGGGTTCAGTCCCCAGTACCATAAATCAAAGAGAGTAATTTCTCAGCAGGGACTTGCGTCAGTTTTGTGGAAACCTTTCCCAGAAATACACCTACCCTGGAGGCTCAGTCTAGGTGGGTGTAGGGTGAAGCCTATCCCACTTAAGAAAATAGTCTGATCTTGTATGGCAGGGTAGCACATACCTAAAGCAGGATTGCAAATTTGTGGCCAGCCTGGATAACTTAATGAGACCTGTATCAAAATTAAATAAAAAGGCTGAGGATGTAGCTCAGCACTCCTGGGTTTACTCTCCAATACCACAAAAACAAAGCAATCTGATCCCAACAGTATTTTTTTTTTTTTTTTTTCTGACACAAGTGATCGCAAGAAAAAGAGAATTTAGTTCTGCCTGGATAACGGAGAGTTGGCTAGCTTTGGAAGTCAGCATTCCCAAGAATTCAGCCCACAGTGATGGAAGTTAACGTATGAAGTTCTTTAGATAGCTTCATAAAAACAAGTCGCATTTCTTTTTGCTTGTGCTGAATTTCTTGGATTTTAATCTACCTCATCTTGTCTCTCTCGGGTTAGTTCCGCCTGTCATTGCCGCTTGAACATTGTGCTCAGCCGGTTATTTTCTGGATGGAATTGTCCCTGCGTGTCGCTAGCCCGTTCTCTTGCCTTTTGTCCTGGTCCTCATTTCACCTAACATCATCTCTCATTGCTCCTCTGTCAGAAAAGTGTTTTAAAATAGTTTAAAATCTAGTTTTTTGGGAAGAAATGAACCTTTAATACTATTTGTCTTCTTTAAGTTAGTAAGAGAAGGAGTTAAAGCAAGGTGGTAGGGGAGGGAATGGATCCTGCACTGGAGGCAAAAGCTGAGAAGGAAAGAGCCATTAATTAAGACAATTTCAAAGTCAACTGATTGTGATCATTAATGTCACAATAGATCAAAACCTAATTATCACAGCCTAGGTAAGAGCCATCAGTATTAATCGGGAAATCTAATAGGAAACTATTATCAAGAAATTAGGCCAAATTGAATGCAATGAACTTTTTATCTTGTCATTCTCTCCTTTTTTTTTTTTTTTTTTTCTTCTTTTTTTTTTTTTTTTTTTTTTGTGATGTCCCCTGGCATTGGCAGGTGTGACCCTAACACTTGATCCAAGCCCAAGTAGGCAATTCATCACATTTTTAAGGAGCGTTTTTTTTTTTGCTGGGGGGAGGGGAGGAATTCCAAATACAGACAGAACCTGAAATGTCATTGCCAAAAAATCAACCTTGAACTTTCTCATCACCTGGATTCTGTACAGTGTGATCGCCCATCAGAAAAAAAAAAAAAAAAAGACAGAAAGAAAAAGCTTATAGGTGTTGGAGTGAGTCCTGGAACAAGATAGCCCTCATAGACCTTGTACCGTGTGTTGATAAGTTGTTCTTTGAGCTTCTGCTGCTCGTAGAGTCCTGATATGCTGGCTGCCGTGAGGGGCCTGGAAGGAAGGAAGGAAGGAAGGAAGGAAGGAAGGAAGGAAGGAAGGAAGGAAGGAAGGAAGGAAGGAAGAAAGGGATGCTTTGCCTGGAAATTCTTTGAGCACAGCTGAAGAGACCTAGTGCTTGTGTGTCAGTGCTCTTAAGGCTCAAAGCAGCGTTTTGCAGATCCAGTAGCTTCAGGATTTCATTCTAAACCAGGGCTGGCTGTGGCTTCGGACTCTCCTCATCCCCATAGTTTTAGGATAAGGGACATAATTTCTACCAGAATCCAAAGTCAAACCAAACTGGGTGGAGAAGGCATGAAATGGTGTTTTGGTTTGGTTGTTGCCGCCACTCCCATTTTCTGACAGGAGGAAAGAATGTTGTAGGAGTCGATATGACTAGTGACGGTGGTCACCATTTATGTCCTTAATCTTGAGCTGTGTATGGGGATGTCTCAGCTCTTGGGGTTGAGCAAGATCTGGTGAGGAGCAATGCCACACAGCAGGAGGGCGCGTGCGGTGCCAGGGTTCCTGCCCTTTGCACTTTGCAGCC